TCGCTGTGTCTCTCTCTGTCGAATAAATAAAATCTTTAAAAAAAAAAAAAGGGATAAGAAAAACCTAGATGTCTCCAATAGATTAAATGTTTCCATATTCGCAATTAGGAGCAGCCAATTCAGTAGATTCAAATCACAGTTAAGTTTGGTTTATGCATATCCGATTGCAAATGCCAAAGGATTTAAAAAGAGAGAGGTGATTCAACTCTATGATTCCCCCGCAATGAGTGCATGTCACAGACAATGCAGACTTGGCATGGCTTTGTTTTCAAGAAACAAACTGTAGGGGCACCTGGGTGGCTCAGTTGTTAAGTGTCTGCGTCAGCTCAGGTCATGATCCCGGGGTCCTGGGATTGAGCCCCGCATTGGGCTCCCTGCTTAGTGGGAAGCCTGCTTCTCCCTCTCCCACTCCCCCTGCTTGTGTTCCCTCTCTCACTGTGTCTCTGTCAAATAAATAAATAAAATCTTAAAAAAAAAAAAAGTGTATCTCTATTATTCTCAAGACATTTATATTTCTAGAGAGCGTATTTAGTATCTTCCTTTTATAAAGTCCTATTTTTATACACTTATTCTTGAGATACTCGTAAGATTAGGAAAAATGACTCTCTAGGTTGATACTCTTTTGCTTTTAAGCATATCTCTGCTCAGAGGGGAACACTGTTTTATAAGTCTGGAATATTAGATTTGGTTATTGGATTGGTATGATATTAGGCCAGTTAAATTTTTGATTCTAGTTAAAATTTTATAGATTTTTTTTTATGTTCTAAGAATTTAGGTTTCTATTTACAAATTAAATGGTCTTTTTCCTTACTTTGTAAGGACTTCTTTTATAACTATTTCAGAATGAATTATCACTATTTCTAAGTGTAATTGTTAATATAACTACTTCATATTATAAGAAATATCTATTAATTGCAAAAGTAATTGGAAATAGGTTTGCTTTGTTGCTTGGTGGGTTTTAAGAATCCTTTTAGGGGCACCTGGGTGGCTCAGTTGGGTGTCTGCCTTCGGCTCAGGTCATGATCCCAGGGTCCTGGAATTGAGCCCTGCATCGGGCTCCCTGCTCAGCGGGGAGCCTGCTTCTCCCCTGCCTTTGCCTGCAGCTCCCCCTGCTTGTACTCTCTCTCTCTTCTCTTCTCTGTCATATAAATAAATAAAATCTTTTTTTTAAAAGAGAGGATACTTTTAGTATTTAATTATGGGAAATTTTCAAATATATGCCAAAAGAGGGACAATTATTTATATATATATAATGAAAAATACGTATATATACTGAGTCCCTGTGTATCATCTAATATCAGTAATTTTCAACACATGGCCAGTCTTGTCTTATTCATAATCCCACCTTATCCCTCATTTTATTCTGATACGAATCTTAGACCTCATGTCATTTTTAACTGTAAATATTTCAGTAAATATATATGTACATCATATATATAACATATGTTATACATATATATGTATATATAATAACTATATAATATATAATATACATATATAACTATATAATTGTATAATAATTATATACTTATAATAGTATTTAAAATGATATATAGTTATATAATAATTATATTTCAGTATATACATATATATAATTCCTTCATATGCTCAAATATTCAGTTAGTATTCACATTTACCCCACTCATCCCCATGTCTTTTTTAATACAGTTTGTTTGCATCAGGATCTAATTTAAGTTCCATGTAAAATGTTGGTTTTTTTTTAAGTAGGCTCCATGCCTTTCATGGAGCCCAACATGGGGCTTGAACTCACAACCCTGAGATCAAGAGTCAGATGCTAACCAACTGAGCCACACAACCCCCTGGTTAAAATGTTTCTTAGGGCTCTTTTAATCTACTGATGTTCTCTCTCTTTTCCCTCGCAATTTATGTAAGAAACTGAGTTTTTGTTTGTTTTAATTTCTGTAGAATTTTCCACTCTGAATTTTGCTGAGGTGTCATTTAATATTTTTCCATGGGTTTCTCCCCAATTTCCTCTAAAGGGGTAGTTAGAGCTATAGGCCTGATCATACTCAGGAATACTTGTCTAGCAGTACTTAGTAGGGGTTTATAAACTTATCAGGAGGCACTGGTTCTCTCTGTGAAGAGAGCAGCCATTGATAATTATTGCCTAGTTCAAATAATGCATTGGTGGTTGTAATATTCTAATTCTTTTGTTCCTTTTATATTTCTGGGGTACTTCTGTAAGGAGAAACTTCTTTTCCTCAACCATTTGGTACCTTGAGGTACAGTTCATATATAGGAAAGGCAGAGTAGACTTACTTCTTTCCTTATATACACTAGTTGGGTGAATAGAAGTTAGTTCAAAGGTGACTAATTAGGGGTGTGTGTGTGTGTATCATTATTTACTTATGGAAGATTTACTTTTGGGCTCAGATGGTAAATTTCTAAATCCAATGGAGAATCTTCTCTATGACTTGATTGACTAGCTGTCTTGTTCTGAAGATCCCTTAGTATAATTTGCAATGAAGAGCTATCCAGTTCATTCATTCATTCAACAAATATTTATTGAGTACCTAATCATGTGCCAAGTACTCTCTAAGGTATATACCTAATTTAACAAAACAGACAAATCCCTTGCTTTCTGGTGTTTTGAGCCTCATTTGAGGCTAATTATTCAAAACACTTCACAACTCCTGACCTACTTACCTGTCTCTCTCATCTACTTTCTTGAATATGTCTTCCTTTTTACCAACCACAGAGCTTCTGTAATGTAAAGATAAAAATTCCACCAGAAAATGCCTCTAATTGGGCCATAGTTCTCAGTCCTTTTCTGAGAGAATCCCGTCACTTATTTCCATTAGGTAGCATATGATTTGGGGAACATGTTAAAATGGTTTAAATGACCTAGAATAATTTATGTTCAAATTTTAAAAATACATGTTTTTTTCATTTAACAAATTTTTATCATTATCAAATTATTCTTGCTTTGTAAGTGATGTATTTTAATTCATATAGTTATTATACATGTAATAACTATTACCTAATTCTAAAAATATCACATCCGGTCTAACTTGGTATATGACAGCGTGACAGTAATAGGTGATTTGCAAAACAAATGATGCAATTTTAATAAGTTCAGAACAAATACTAACATAAAAGATGTTATCTTGAAAAAAGAATAACTTTCCAGAGCAGCGAGCATTTAGTATTTGTAAATTATGGGTACTGCCCTATACGTATTTGTTTCAAAACATCTTATTTTATCTTTGCAGGAGCAATTGGTTACATGGGAACAAGTGCCTTTGTCCGAAAAATCTATACTAATGTGAAAATTGATTAGAGACCCAAGAAAACCTGGAACTTCGGATCAATTTCTCTTTCATAGGGGTGGAACTTCACAGCAAAAAAAAAGAAAAGCGCAAGAAGAGATTTGGGCTTTCACACTGGGTACTCTGTGGGTCTCTCTTTCGTGGATGGCTTAAAGTAACATCTATTTCCATTGATCCTAGGTTCTTACTGACTGCTTTCTCCAACTGTTCACAGCAAATGCTTGGATTTTATGCAGTAGGCATTACTACAGTACATGGCTAATCTTCCCAAAAACTAGCTTATTAAAGATGAAATAGACCAGCTCTCTTCAGTGAAGAGGACAAATAGTTTATTTAAAGCATTTGTTCCAATAAAATAAATAGAGGGAAACTTGGATGCTAAAATTACATGAATAGAATCTTCCTGGCACTTAGTGTTTCTACATTATTGAAAAATGATGTTCCAGAAAGATTACTCTTTGCTCTTTATTTTTACTGCCATCGTCAACCTATTATGGGACATTTTTATATATTGAATCTGGGTTCTTTTTGACCTGTTTTTTTTTTTTCCCCCAATCCGACTGCATCCTTTTTTTTTTAAAGAGAGAATTAAAAAATAATTAAATCCTGCATGTAATATATCTGCTGTCATCTTAGTTGGACCAGCTTCCCATTTATTTATCTTAAAACTATTCAGTTCCATCTTAATTCCATCCAAAGAAGATACAGTCTGAAGATAGAGGTGTACTCTCTACAATGCAATTTACTGTACAGTTAGAAAGCAAAGTGTTAAATGGAGAAGATATTTGTTTTTATTAAACATTTTGAGATTTAGATAAACTACATTTTAACTGAATGTCTAAAGTGATTATCTTTTTCCTTCCCCCAGGTTAGTCTTACATCTTTTTTGGGTTTGAATGAAGGTTTTACATAAGAAATTATTAAAAACAAGGGGGGTGGGTAATAAATGTATATAACATTAAATAATGTAACGTAGGTGTAGATTCTCAAATGCATTTGGATGTACAGATTGACTACGGAGTACTTTTTTCTGATGATGATTGGTGTAGAAATGTGTGAATTTGGGTGGCTTTTTACATCTTGCCTACCGCTGCATGAAACATTGGGGTTTCTTCAAAATGTGTGTGTCATACTTCCTTTGGGAGGGGGGATTGTTTTCTTCTGTTTCTTTTCTGAGACTCCTACAGGAGCTAAATTTGTAATTTAGAAACATTTAATTTTGTTAATCCTGTCTGGGGCACTTAAGTAACATCTAAAGCATAGTGCTTTAGAATGTTAAAATAAACTTTCCTGACCAAATTGTTTTGTGAAAATAGATGTGTTTGCAATTTGAAGATATCTTTTCAAAAGGCAATATTACTGAATGCAATTTTTTAAATATACTGTAAACTATGCTTTTCTAATACAGGAGACCCACACCTTAAAATCCCCAAACTTGCTTACATCTAGATTATCCAATATAGTCACAAAGTAAATGATAAGCCCTTCAGATTAGATTGTGGCACAAAATCTGTTCAGGTTGGTGTACTGTGTAAAGTGGGGATGGGGTAAAAGTGGTTAGCTTACTATTGGATGAGCAAATAAAGGTTGCAGTTTTCTAAGAGAAGTGATTTAATTTTGAATACATCTTTCTGGAACTATCCATAATATGAAGTTTTCCTAGAACCATTGAGTTTCTAGTTTAATAGTTTGCTATGCAAATGACCACCTAAAACAATACTGTATATTGGTATTTTTAGAAAGACTCAAAACCGCTGTATGTAATCTTTAATGTGAAACTCATGCCATTTATAGTTACGTAAGCTGTTTTCATTACAAAATATGTTTCTATAAATTGACTCTGCATCCTATAATGTGGTATGTAAGGACTATAAAGAGTGAAAAGTTTGATTTCTTACCACTTAAGTATGGCTGACATGAACAAACAGGAGTTTGATCTGAAGCTGTAGGTAAATCCTTCTTCAAGCCAAAATGTTGTATTAAATGCAATCTACTGGTTCTTCCATTTTCTCTTCCTTCAAGATCTTATAAGAAACTGAACGTCAATATTTAGTGGCTTATATAATGTAACTTTTTAATTACATGTAAAGTAATTACAACAACTATAGTCTATCTGATGGAGTATCAATTGGACAGCAAGCTTTTGTCTTAGTAAAATGAAATCTGTTTCTCATGAATCTTCCAGGTAAGATGTAGGGTTTTAAAAAATGAGTCCTTTAGCTGCTTTCAGCTATACCAATTCCTTTTACTAAATTGAGCTCTATTTCAAGTCCTTTGGAATTTTCAATGAAAAAGGGTTTTCTAACTTTCAAATATATTAAGTGTCATATTAAAATGAATATAAAATGCCTTGAAAGTCCTTTAGAAAGTATATATTGGTTTATGCCTTCATGGAGGGTCTGACCATGTGTGTGTCTTGAAGAAGACGTAATCCACAAACAGTTTAGCTCCCTAGCTCTGGGTTATAGAGTAGTAAAATAAAATATTTAAGTTAATTAAAGAGTGAGGTTCTTCCACTCCATTAATGCTGTTTATCTGTCTTCCATTTGTTAACATTATTTGCTCAACTTATCAACTGATGCTTTGAACACTATCAAAAACTAAGGATAAACGTTCTCATATTTGTAAGCATGCTTCTCCTGAAATTTAGCTACAGTACTAATTGGCATCATTATTCATCTATCCTAGTACAATGGTAGGATAAAGTGGAAATGGAACGGCTGGAACTATGGTAAAGCACTCTTTGGTATATCATGCTGGGCTCCTAATTTGCATTAAGTTTGACCACAAATCAAGCCCCATCCTCTTAGAATTCATTATACCGTGCTGGTATCTGAACCTAGTGAATGATATGATTGGGTGTTTTCCATTGACAGTGCACGGATCTCTTTATAAGGGTGGTTGCTGCAAATTCCAGTTTTTCCAAAATCCATTTTATTTAGGGTTTATCCACAAATTGTGTTCAGTTTGTTAAAACTTTTGTTTCCTAAATGTCTACAAACCACCTTATGCCAAATGTCTTGCAAATAATACTCCTTTAAGATTTCCTTGAATTTTTACGAATGTAAAGCAAATAAATGTATTAATGTAATTCGTTGAGGAAAAGCTACATACTGAAGGGCTTCTGTGTATAAATTCTGGGAAAGAAAAGCCTATTTGTAATCTATACACTGCAGTTCCATCTGGGTTTTAAGTTTAGATTTCAGCATGTCTTAGTGCTTCAGTCTATTGATTTATTGGAACAAGTAATAAATAGGAGCAGTGACGTATGAAAATGCAAGTATTCATTAATGTTTTATATCTTCATAAAAATTCCGTGGTTATGAAGCTGTATTTTAGCAATCAAGATGTTAAAGAGATCAGAGCAGTGAAAATTTATAAAGATAGTTTGGTAGTGTGTACAGAAATAGACTAGATTTAGAGGTAGGGTAGGTCAGAAAGTGAACATAAAGCTGCAGAAATTTTATAAGATTTAAATTCAGTATGAGGAATAACTCTAATTCTGTCTTACGAGCCTTTTCTGAAAGCCGTCTGAGTTGACATTCTTATTGGAGCTGTAGGCCGAATTGTGCGAAGATAAAAGTAAAAATTAAGTTTTTATTTTACTGTATCAGGGAATGGAAACAGAAACTGGTGTGAAAGCTGCTCATGTGTACTGGTGAACTAGGCATGCAGACAGTTGATGGACAAGGCCGTATTTTGTGTGTTTATCCCAGTTCCTCAGTTGAGGTCATTTGAAAGTTATAAATGTTCTAAGTAAGATCTTAAGGCAAGGAACAAATAACATGGAATTCTGTTTTGAAGGACAAGAGAGTATACGCAGAAAAGCAGTCCCAGTCGGGCTTTTCATCTGTGTCAGATTTGAACCTATATAAATCCCCACAGAGCACGGGTAGTCGATACCAGTGGGAAGGAAAACAGTCATTGCTTGATGATTACTTCCTTTTTGTACCCACCTTCGGTTTGTGTAGGTCATATTCCAACTGGCTTTTTAGTAATAGATATCCAGTATATACTGTATCAAATACATTTGAGGTTCTAATCTAGTCTGTTAATCTAACTAAAGTTGGATTTTTAAAATAATAAAAAGTTAAATGTACTTTCCTTGAATGCTTTATTTCTTTCCTTTTTGAAACAAGTGAACCAGGCTTAAGGGATAACCCATTATTACTGGTATGCATATGAAGCGTTTACTGATACGATAGCCTTCCACAGTTAAACAGGAATCCGCAAACTTTTGCTGTAAAGGGCAGATAGGAAATAGTTGAGGCTTTGAGTGCCAGATGCAACTACTCTACCTTTGTAGCACAACAGCCATAGTAGATAGGACACAAACCAGCGAGCATGGCAGTTTTCCAATCCGACAACAACAAAAATGGCCAATGGGCTACAGTTTGCTGACCCCTGAAATGAAGGATTTAAAAGATTTAAAATTTAAGATTTGATTTTTCCCCCAACTTCTTACTTTGGAAAAAAAAAAATTAAATATACAGAAAGTTGAAAGGATGGTACAATGAATAAGGTTTGTCTTTAGAAAATTATTTTTCTCTTTTATTATCATTCTTTTGACTTCTGTGTACAAGCTCTGACTCCTACACTCAAACCCCACTACCCCCATGCCTGTCATTCTGACTGATCATACATTGTCTAGGCAAAGCAGTGCCACCCATGTTCCCTCACAACCATTCTGTGAAGCTGATAGGGTAGACCACTGCATATTCTAGAAAAGAAGCTAGAGCAACCAAAGAGTATATTATTTTAAGCTGAAAGTAATCAAGATTAGATTAGGGTCCTCTTGACCACTGTCACTGTTAAAATGGGGATACCACCTCTCTAGCCTGTGGAGCAGATAATATAGGGTAAAGATCATATTGAAAATGAGTGTTTTATACCAACGGAAGGGGTTATTTTTATTGTGCTACATCAAAATCAGTAATTTCTCCAGGTCTATTGGTACTTCTGTTTTTCGTCTCCAGTTTTAACTAGTTATTGAAATCCTTGTTAACCTTCTTAGTCCTTTTCTTCCCCTGATTTTATTAGCTGCCTCAGTCAATACCTATACTTGACAATTCCTGTTGGCCATATAGTTTAAGTTAGAGTAAATTTGGATTACTTCTGATCTCTAATGAACAGTTTTTGTGTGGTTGGAAATTTTAAATATTTATTTGACACAGAGCAAGAGAGAGAGGAGAAGCAGGGGGAACAGCAGGCACCCTGCTGAGCAAGGAGCCCGACGACATGGGACTCCATCCCAGGACCCCGGGATCATGACCGGAGCCGAAGGCAGACACTTAATGAGTGAACCACCCAGGCGCCTCCCCCCTTTTTGAGAACTATTTTATTAAACTGTTAATCTACAGTTTAACATTAGAAAAAGGGAGAGGGGCGCCTGGGTGGCTCAGTCGTTGGGCGTCTGCCTTCGGCTCCGGTCATGATCCCGGGATCCTGGGATCGAACCCCACGTCGGGCTCCCTGCTCGGCGGGAAGCCTGCTTCTCCCTCTTCCACTCCCCCTGCTTGTGTTCCCTCTCTCGCTATGTCTCTCTCTGTCAAATAAATAAAATCTTTTAAAAAAAAGGGGGGGAATGTGCCTCCACTGGGACATGTGGAGTCAATGGTAATATAGTCTACAAATGTATTTTAAATCATTTTAAAAACTGCATGTTTAAGGTGATAAAAGTTTCAGATTTACAAAGTGCAGGAGATGGTTGTAGGGAGAGGTTGATGTAAGTCATTTTAACTGGCCACTGTCCTGGTTATTCATAGTGGCTCAGTCTAAGCTACTAAGATTCTGGGACTTAACCTTGAAGGTCATTGACGGGAGGGGAGGGTCTAGAGAGTGAAATATGGAAGGTGACTCCCAAGTTGGGGTTGGTTACCAGTCGGGTAGCGCAGACATACATAGGTAAGTGTCGTAAGTGTGGTAAGCTATTATAACAGGTGTTGGCAGGAGGATGCAAGCTGTGTGTTATCAGGTTGTACCCAGCAGAGACATGGAGTGTGAAGCAGCAAGACTCTGTTAGGGTGACTGCAAGGTGTTCAATGCAACAAGAGTGGCGAGTGGACAGAGGTGGAAGGAGCCAAGGCTAGAAGTGTGAACGGAAGGCCTGATGGTAGATCAGAAGTTCTGGTGTGTTGGAGGAGCTCGGATAAAGGTTTTGGAGAAGAGCTACAAGGGGTTTTGAGCAGCTGTTAAAGATTGTAACTTAAATATCTTAATAACCTTCTCTAAGGAACTCAAAGTGCCTTCTCAGTGGTAATGTAAACAAAGGAATGAGCCAGCAGATGAGAGTGTCTGCTTTATTCGACAGGTTCTGCTCCCTGCGTTGGAGGAGATGATGATGTGTAGTGGCCTGGAATGGCAAAATGAGAAAGTGGCCTGTGTGGAGTAGTTGAGGATAAAACTTAGGGGTTGTGCAGGGGTTCGAGAGCTGCTGCAAGAGAACTGGTCTGCTCTGGGTATTCGGAAATAGGTGGAATGAGTTGGGTGGAGGACAGACATCTGACTAAACGGGGGGGGGGGGAAAGCTTGTATACTTGGCAGGCTTTCCACAGGACCATGAGCTATGGGGGAGGAAACCCACAAAAATTATGAATAATCATGGATGTAATGGAACTACGACGAGCAGCTTTAGAGCATAAAGCCTTTTATTCTACCTCTAGTTTTCCCATGGGATTTAAATTTAAAAATGCATATTTTAAAAATTATGTGAACCCAGATTAGAGTTTAATATATAAAAGTAATTTGTGAAATCAGGAACTATGGAGCTGATAAAAATTATTAACCATCCCTCTTCAGCTGTTCCTATCTAATCTCTCAATACTGTGATCCAAATGTTTTGTTGCTATTTGTTGACTGAGAGCCAAAGTAGCAGCAAAACAAGGCTTCTGACATAAAACTGTGCAGCTTGCTCACTCAGGAACACCACTGTCTTCTAAATATTTGGACAAAGACTGTTGGTGAGAAGACCTGGCAGCTACTCACCAGGTGGGGATTAGAGGCAATAAAAGCTCACAACCTCAGGGCTTATACAAGAGGTCTCCTGTAATGTCCTACTTTCCAGAGGAATTCCCTGCTAATGAGGAAGCCAGTTGGCTCTTTGCCTAGTGCCATCTGGAGACCTGGAGGTGTCACAGAAGTTTGTTAGGCTTTTTAGATGTTGACTTTGTGGACTTGGTGACCTTCATTGGGTTCAATGCAGGGAACTATGGCGTTGGGTTTGACTCCTTCCAGCATTCAGGCAGAAATGCCATTCAACCCCTTCCCACACCTATCACATGTTTAATGGCCACTTGGCCTCTTCCCTGCCATTTGGTGACATCCATTCCCCCCAGATTTCTTTCTCCCACTTAGGAGTTCCAAATCAGATCATCTTGCCCAATCTGGGTCCATTCTGTATGTGCCCATTCAATGATGAAACAGGGTCAACTTGGATTTCTTTTTAAGGGTGAAGACAAAATACCCAAAAGCCACCTTCCAGTGGTTAAGTTTTGAACCATTACTGATTTGAAGGACTTGTTATCTTAGTTAATAGGTAAGACAGATTACCATAATGCAAGAAATTAGAGTCCTGTATATAGAGTCCAGCTCTGGGCTCCCTATCAGCTAGTTTGTCATTAATGGCTGTGAAATCATGTGGAAACCCAAAAGGAAGTTCAGTTCATTTTTTGCTTGCAGTTTAAATGAAAAAAGATTCTACTGGGTGTGATGCTGAACAATCTCTACACATTGGTGTGTTTTACTCCTTGATTAGGGCAATTTTGCTTGCATAAAAAGGTCTTTGAAATGCCTCATGGTAATAGTACTTTTTATGTCTATAAAAATGGCTCAGCTCTGACAATTTTTACATTTAAGGTACAGCGTGGGAGTGGGTTTCAAGTATCTCTTGATTATTCTTCTGAATTATTTGGGCATATGTTTTTAATTGGCAAAAAATAACCAGACTTCAGAAATTGGTCATTTTTATTCCATCAAGTTAATGGTGAGTGGCTTATTTAATAAAAACATGTCTGTAATGTAACACAAATAGCACGTACAGCTGTTCATTTGTCAATCTTTTTGCCTGTATGAGGCATCTTAAACAGTTTTGCTAAAGGATAGGTCACCAAGAGGGGAAATCTGTCATTTTAAATAATTCTTCCCCTAAGGCACCGTATCACCAGCCACCACGTTGGATGAGGTGGGTGCTGCAGCAAGCGTCCTTCGTGGCTGGACGAGGGATGTTGAGAAAGCTGAGAGAATCGTAATCTTTTATTTTTTTCTGAGCTGAAAGCTACCAGCGAGAAGATTAACTTCATTCCTCAGGAGAAACGATTGTCCGAAAGCACAGAGCCAGTCGGTTAACGACGCGGACCGCGCACACCGGGCTACTCGTCCTGAGCTCGGAGCCGCCGCCACTGCTGCCTGCCTTCGCCCACGTGTGCGTCAGGGAGTTGTAAAGTGAGTTACGCCAACAAATAAGCGGGAAGTCCAGCCTTGATCTTCAGGAGCAACATTCTCGGGGGGCCAGAGGCCGAAGTGGCGCCGACAGAAGGGCGCCCTGGGCTCGGTGGGAGCTCCGCGGGCCCTTGCCTTCGGCATCTTCACCTCGCTCCCCTTTCTCCGAAGTTGCGGAGGTGCCTGGAAGAGGAGGGGCCTCGCCTCGGGCGCCCGAGTGATTGGCTGCCCGGGGCCCCCGGCGAGGGCTGTGTGGTCCAGCCCGGGTGGAGAGGGGCGGAGCGGCCACTGCTCCAACCACCGCCACCACCGCCACAGCCGCAGCCGCCGCAGCCTCGGGCGCCGGGCAAGAAGCTCCGGGCGGCGGCTTCCCGGGCGCCCCGACGCGGACCGGGGCGCCGCGCTCTGCTCGCTCCGCGCCCGAGCCATGCCGGGCAGCCGTGCGTAATCGCCGCGCCGCCGCCGACCTGCCCTGTGCGCGGTCCCTGGTCCAGCGGAGCTTTCCGTGCTCGCATCTCCCTCGTTCTCCGTCGGCCCCTCGCAACCATGCCCCGGGCGACTGCTCTCGGGGTCCCGATGCCCCTGCTGCTGCCTGTCCTGCTGCTGCTGCTACCGCCGCTGCGCCGCGGCGCCGGGGGGCTGGCGGAGCTCTCGGACGCCGCCCCGGACTCTTCGGCGCTGGAAGGCGGGGAGGGCGCGGAGCAGCAGCTGGAGCATTACCACGACCCGTGCAAAGCCGGTAGGTGCCGCCGCCGCCGCCGCCGCCGGGGAAGTCCGGCAGAAGTTTGCCTTTGAAATGCAAATGAGTGGTGGGCAAGCCTGCGCGGCCGTCTGTGGGGCGGGTGTCCCTCCCCTCCCCCGAGATCGCCCGGCTCCCCGGGAAAACAATGCCACTCCGGCTGGGACGTCCCGGCCGCGGGCCTGCGGCGCGCCCCGGGTGGCAGCTTCGGGCGCGTTCCCACAGCCGAGGAGGGCGGGCGCGCGGGCCGCCTGACAGCCAGGTGCTCCGCACGAGCGGCCGCCGGACCGCGGGGCTGGGCGCGCAGCTCCCGGGCTCGGAGGGAGCCCTGGCCCCGGCTTCCCCGCGTTTGCAAGTTGTGCGCAAAGTTTCCCGAGATCTCGTGCCTGCTCTTGGGAAGAGAAGAACAAAACCCGAAAAGCTGCACGGCCGGCACAGGGAAAGTGGTAGCTGAGGGAGAATGCGCGTGCCCCGCGTTGCCGCCAAGTTCCCTGTAGCCCCCTCAGCGTGGTCCGGGTCTGGGGGGCGCGGAGATGGAAGCCGGCACGTGCTCTAATCCCTCAGGAAGCGGCGCCCCGGGACGCGCGGGTCTTTCTGGCGCACATCGGGCCGGGGCGCCGCGGCTCCCTTCCCGGAGCCACCAGCCGGCTCGTGGGTCCCCAGGGGCGTGGCCTCCGAGCCCGAGCGCTCCGGGCGGCAGCGCCGCGGGCCCCGGGCGCAGGTTCCCGAGAGCCCACGAGTCTGGGGAGCTCCGGCCGGGACCGCTCCTGGCCGGCGGCCGGCGGCCCGCAGAGATGAACACACGGAACGGAGAGCGCGGCCTCCCTCCTCTCCCCGTGCTGTGGTCGGCCCGGGCTGGGGGAGCGCCGTGGCCAGGGGCCCCACTTCTTCACTCCCTGGAGACCTCTGGTAGTCTCAGTTGCCTCATCTCTAAACTGGGCGCAGTATTATAGGAGGTCTCATGATGTATGGGGAAATTCTCTGCAAATGGAGAAATGAGATGGTCCTGTAATAACCTGTATTGTTACTGCAGCGGCTATGGGCTAGGTTGGGGGTCGGACAGATCAGAACTGGGCGAAGTCTGGGGGAAGACCAGGTCACTAGGAGGCGGGCGGACCCAGAGGCTGTGAGACCTGAGTGTCTTGTGAAGGTTGAAGACCAGGCTTGAGGGGCCTGGTCTTACCTTGCAGGAATAGTCCTCCAGAATACCCACCTATTGCTGTACCTGGTGGGGCTTCTGAGTTAAGAAGGTGCGCAGAAATGTTGGTTCCTGGGTCTTTTGAGAAAATGTCAGCAGGTAGCATGTCCCGACCGAAGTATCTCAGTTTGTCATGGGACCCAGCCCATGATCAGGGAGAAGTCTCTGGAGCACTGTTGGAATGGTGGTGACCTTGCCGGGAAAGAGACTGAGGCTGTGAAAATGGGGCGGGGTCTAAAGGAGATGAATCAACCATCCCGTGAGCCTGTCAGATCCTGGACTCTACTGGATGTGTGCTGGGGCCTCTGGGCCCCGATGTGGGCAGCTGGGGCCTCGACTCGGGAAGCCAACAGTCTGTTCAGGCATGTACTGAGCACCTCTGGTATGCTGGGTGCTGCAAATCCTGGTGAAAGAGGCACAGATCTGTCTGGGAGAGCCCTCCAGCTCCCAGTCGCAGCCTTGTGGAATAACGGTAAGGCAGGTTTGCCTCCAATAATTTTGTAGAAAATGCTAGATAACCAGGGCATGCGTGTTCTGTGACTCTTCGCACACAGGATGGGATGGGCGGGCCGGGCTGGAGAGTAGAGGATCTTGGGAGCTTGGTTTCAGCCCGCTCCAGGCAAGCTCCATAGCCATCCTTGATCTTCAGTCGCCTTGGCCTCTCCTTAAGCTGTGCTCATTCTAAGAGTGGCCAGAAGAGGGCGATGGCAAGGGAAACCTGGGGAAAAGGTCACATCTCAGTCTGTCCATGCTTCTGGAAATTCCCAGAGCTAGGAAAAGCCTTCTGGAAGGACAAAAAGCAGTTCACCAGGGCACTGAGATCTCAATGGAAGGACATGTGTCGAGGCTGAGGGGGAACACTGCATTTCCTGGTTCCACATTTAAACCAAATGTTTAGGGGCAGCCTCTCATCCTATCCCAGTAAATCCCAACTTCTGACTCCTCTGCCAAGAAGGAGGGCTTCAGGGCTTTGAATCTAAAACACGTCCCACCTGCCCTTTCTTGAGTGGGACACAGTGCATTATGCTGCAGACACAGTGCAGGGAGGAGAGTCGGGGATCTGGTCCTGGCCTCTTGGAGCTGTGTTACCTCAGACAAGTCCCCTCCTCTTGGGGTCTCAGTTGCTCATCTGCAGGATAAGGTGGTTAGACTTGTTAGGGTTGCAAACTGACAGGCCCAGAGAGCTGGTTCTCTTGGTCCACGTCTGTCAGCTGTCTTGCCCTGTGCCCACTTCACACCTTGTGGGTGTTTGAATTTGCGCCCCTGGCTCCTTCCTACTTAGTGTTCTGTGGTTCTATGACCTTTGCCTCCAGCTCAGCTTCTCAGAGGCTGACCAAACTGGTAAGTGTTTCACTGTTTACTATTTTACTATTTACCATTTCACCGCTTTTACCATTTTGAAAATCGTTTTTTTTTTTTTTTTACCATTTTACCATTTATGAATTTTATCATTTCCTCTGCTGTTTACATTCTGTGTGACCTTGGGCAATACACTTAATGTCTCTGTGCCTTAGTGTCCTTGTTTATAAATGAGGATGATTCCAAATAGATTAAAGTGCTTAAAACAGCACCGGCTATCTATGTAGGTTCTTTACAAACAGGTTTTCTAGAAACTTGTTAAAGGAACATCTTCATGTGGACCTTTGAAGCAAGTTTTAAAGTGTAACATTTAAATTTACTAATGAACAATCTACTTAATGCTGTAAAAAAGAGATGCTTTTCAAATCAGATGCTGGTGGAGTGGGAGTGAATGTGTGCGGTCCTCCTAGCCTGGGGCTGGTGAGGTACACTGGTCTTTCTGGGCACAGTCTCTGCCTAGCAGTCCACAGCTCTCTCTGCTGGTTTTTGTTTTTGTTTTTTTTTTTCCATCTAATACTGTAAGTGCAGCCAAGGGTTCAATTGATAGTGAATTATAAGATATCCTCCCAACCACCATGCCTCTGAGAGTGATCTTTGCAAAGCTTCTGAGGGCTTCTCCTGCCTATTTGCTCTCATCCACAATTCTTTAGCTGGATTCAGGACCAGAGGCCTGGGTCCTTATTCCTTTTACTCCCTGTGTGGCCTTGAGCAAGTCACTTCACCTCTCCATGCCTCAGTCTTTTCATCTGCAAAATGGGGATGAGAATAAACCACTTGCCTTATAGGGTGGGTCTGTGGCTAGTTGTAGCTAGATTCCTCAGACAAGGACTTGTGTGTCGATAGTTCGTTTGGGAGGTGATCCCAAGAAGCAGGAAGAGTAGAACAGAGAAGGAGGAAATCCAACGAAGGGAGTGAATTGAAGTAGCTGCTTTTGTTGATGGAGTCTTGCACCCACCAGGACCTCTGCAAAGCTTCCAGAAAGTCTCGTAGGATTCCTTGCCCATACAATAGGGGACTGGAGCATTTCTCCAAAGAAATGCTGTCCTTCATTATTTGCTCCCTATTCTTTTGATTTCTGTGTAGAAAACCACCCAAACTCGGTGGTATAGAACAACAACCATTTTATTGTTTTGGTGATTCTGCAGGAGTTTGGAAAGGGCACTACAGAGATGATTTGTCTCTGCTCTGCAGTGTCTGAGCCTCTCCTGGGAAGATTTGCAGGCGGAGGTGATGGAGGTGGGTGTGACTTGACAGCTGGGGGCTGGAATCATCTGGAGCTTCATTTGGGAGCCTGCAAATGGCTTCTCTGTGTGGTCTCTCCATGCGGGCTAGTTGGGCTTCCTCACAGCATGGCAGCTTGATTCTAAGTGCTCACATTCCAAGAGAACTAGATGGAAGCTGTATTGCCTCGGGAGCTGCATATCGTCATTTCCACTGTGGTCCCAAGCCTTACCAAATTCCAGGGAAGGAACCTAAACCCAGCTCTCCACGGGAGGAGTATCAAAGTCACATTGTTAAAAGAGTTTGTGGAATAGGGGATATTGCCTCAGCCAGTTTGGGAAAATAGGACCTGCCATGCTCCTCCAGGCATTATTTCTGGTACATGCAGCCTGCATCTGTGTGTTCAGGCACCATGGTCGCTAACAGATTCAGAAAAAGTTCTTAAGCAGAAAAGTGGGGAGACATGCAGCGCTGCATGGAACGGCCCAGAGTTAAGTTGAGGATGTGTGACTTAGATCACCAAAATTGTCTACATGAAGCTCAAATGATGCAAAAGCGCTTTGTAAACTGTAAAGTCCTGTGCAGTCTTCTGGATTTACTAAACCCAAGGAAACTAGCCGACAGTCAACTTCCCTTTCCAGCTGGCGGCTTAATAAATCCCAGGGCCTTCCTCACTACTCCATGTTCACCCATGATAAAAACATGTATTGCTACATAAATGAATATAGTCAGTGCTCCCTGATGGCTGACGGCATATGGCTTAGGAGCCAGTGGTGAGGGTGCTGGTCTGGAAGCTACTCTTCCCTTCCCACACTTTTAGACCTTACTTCTGCCTGAAATGTGGGGCCCTACTCTACCTTGTCAGGCTCTCCCGGACACAGTGACCTCACCCATCAGCTCCTGATTTTCAGAGCCCCCCAGAGCCCTCAAGGACAGTACTCTCTGGGGCAGCCAGCAGCCCTCATATTACCAATGCAAGGCTGGAATGTCCTAGTCTGTGAGGTCGGGGATGTTTGTCTGTTTCGGTCACTGCTCTAAGCCCAGTGCCTAGGGCGGTGCCTGGAACGTTGTGGGGTACTCATCAGTATTTGCTGAAGGAGGGAATGATGACTTTGGCCCTGTGTGGATTGGGTCTACGGCCGAAGGGATCTCCATGCTCACTGTCAGCCTGGAAAGTAGTGATGCAGACCTGGCCCAGTGGGCTGCAGCCCTCCTAAGAGCG